GTTACGCTCGTCTCTTGGAATGCCTAAACTATTACGGGTTCACCTTAGTCGAATAACCAGAAAAAAACAATGAACTAGCGTCCAGGTAGGCTACTGTGATCCCTTGACCTGATTGTACCAGCAAGAAGTCCTGATATAGTGTAGAAAATGTATTCTACAAACACCCAGTCAGCACACACAATGAATCCAAGCACTCAAATCGCATTTATTTATACTCTAATAGAGACGTCCTTGAGACAGTCACAAAAATAGCACACTAAAATGACACAGTAATCAATCACAACCAAGGATTTTCCTGGTGGGAAATATGATCTCAGGGTCAACTGGTAGGCCCATGAAATAAATCCAAAATAAAGATATTTATCAAGCGAGTTCTGGGGATCTAACATCCCCAACAATAAGTAAGTAAGTAAGTAAGTATATATCTTAGAAAATATTATCTAATTCTTAGATTGCCACAGATTTTAATGGTCACAACACACACACACACAATTCACGTCAATGTAGGTAAAAATCAATATCTGATATAGATTTTCATAGGGTGAAAAAATGTGAAAATACTTGATAGTATCATCATTCCTGATTGCATAATTCAATAAAGTGTAATCTACTAATCATCGAATCATCGAAAATTCTATCATTCTTTTGCTTTTGAGTTTCATTTAAACTTTACTGACAAACACAATGAAGATTCAATTTCCAATTGTTGTGTGTAATGGACAATTTCGCTGTATTTTTTCAACCAACGAGCCATCATAAAATAAAATTAAAAACGCACCACCATACTTGAACATTTCCAGTTCAGTTAAAAAAACAGCTTTTTCTTTTGAAATTAAAAATTGACTAACTAGATTTAAGCTAAAAATATTAAACTTTAATCAAGACAGGAATACGTCTTTCAATGCCTCCTCTTTTTTTTTTTTAATAAAACAAAACAAAATTGAATTGTATGCCTAGAACTGTCTGTCATTTTCAAATTCAAATTTAACGGAACAATCAAGAATTTAAGTTGATTTTCAAAAAACTAATTTATTTTGAAATATACAGATTAAATAAATAACAAATCAACAACAAAGTAGAATGATTTAATTTGTCTAGCCTTCTGTCATGATTATTGTTTCGTTTGTCATTTTAGTTCATCTCATTTATATTTTTATATTTTGTGAATGAATGAGTGAGTGGATTTGAAAAATTTCTGGTCTAGCTGATTTTTTCAATTTAAATATTTCAATGTAGATAGATTTATGTGAGATTTTTGTTTATATTACTGAAATCATTGTGTTATGCCTGCACGTAAACACGTCATTTTGAAATATCTGAATTAGTCGGAAAACGAGAGCGAGAATCGAGGATCCGGTGACAGGACATGCTACTCAAATCCGATTATCCCAATCCCCATATTGAGCGAAAATAAGAAGACTTGATATGAAGTAGAACCTATATTCTACAAGCATCCGGAAAGTACGAGGTCCGAATCCAGAAGAGAATCAGGATCCCGGACCGGGTCATGGTCCTGGTCACAAAACGTTACAGATAATGCGTATTTATACAGTTAGGTCGAATAGGAAACCGCATTGAAGTCTGTGACATTGACAGTTAAGACGACCAATAGGAAGCAACATTTGAAGTGACATTGATAGTCAGGACAACCAATAAGAAACAACATTGGAGTACATGACATTGATATCTAGGACGACCATAAAATTGACCAGTAGGAATTAACCAATAGTAATTGACCAATAATTCTCTTAGGATATTGGATGAATATCCTAACACATTGATTAGTCATTGTTAGATATCGCCATTAACAACCTGAAAGAAGTGGACGACCCGCCAGTCCTCTTATGGAACTAACTCATGAGAGGCAGTGTGCATCCATGACTCCTGATACTGGCAAGTTTCGAACCCAGGACCTTCGGTCTTGTACGTGAATACCTAACCACTGGACCACTGGGCCAGCAGACTTTTAACAGTGTTAATGTCTAATTCTGGTTATTAGATCTCTAATAGAAACCTGGCAACATTCGGTGGCGGTTTTGTTCATAGTTCTATCATAACAAATTATAAAATGTGCTGACCAGTGACTACCTTCGTGAGGGAATTCGCAGAGTTCTAGTGAGAGGACGTTACAGTAACTACCCAAGACAATTGGATGAGGTTTGAAGATAGTGGGGAAAATTTGTAGCTCACGTGGATGATTTTGGTGAAGTTGGTTCTTTGAGCCGGATGTTTTGGTTGTGGAGCTTTCATTGTTTTTCTACTGAACAACATCATCAGTTTAAACTTCAGGAAGAAGTGAAGTATTTGAATTTCTCAACCTTTGACCCGTAGTTTGTTCTGTTAACCTCGATCTTCATTGGTTGTTGTTGACCATAAACCTGTCGTTGTTTGCATGCCATGGGTCATACGCTGAGAAACTCAAGTACTATATTTTCAGTTAGAGTTTTGGAGATTTGTGTTTTTCACACATTTGAAATCATCAATCAATCATTGTTAGACCACTATTAGAAACCTGGAAGTGCTGGACAGCCGTTTCTACCTGTTTTGGGACTCATCAGTGGCAGTGCGCATCCACGACTCCTGCTCCTCGCAGGACTCGAACCCAGGACTTTCGGTATTGCGCTCGAACGCCTAATCATCGGACCACTGGGCCGGCATCCAATGGAGTTAATGTCTAACTCTGATTGATCAAAAGATTTTGCACGGCCTCACCCATTTTTCTTTGGTAGTTACTGCCTACACCCGACAGAGATGAACTCCATTGGTCCCGTCTTCTCACTAGAACTCTGAGAATTTCCTCACGAAGCTAGTCACTAGTGAGCAGGAGTCGTGGATGCGCACTGCCACTGACGAGTCACATACCAGGACGAAACAGCCGTCCAGTGCTTCCAGGTTTCTAATGATCTAGTCTAACAATGATTGATTGATGATTTCAAATGTGTACAAAACTCAAATACTTCATTTCTTCCTGAAGTTTGTGCTTGCTGATGAGGTTGTTGTTCAGAAGAAGAACAATGAAAACCCTACAACTAGAACATCCAGCTCAGAGAACGAAATTCCACATCACATTCCCTAGATTTCAAACTTTCAAGTCAGTGTTTTCAATGATATTTTATAAGAGAGAAACCAGTCCTTCTTACTAAATATGTGAATTGCGAAATGAATATTCTTGGTAGATAGTGGATAGTTTGCATTTTTATCCCTGTTAGTCCCACTCATTAAAACTATGCACTTATCTGTTTGGTATTATAACTTCCTACCTACGATAGATTCCATTCATTGAGTGTAAGTAAGAGTTACGTTTAATTCACTAATCTCATTATAGCTACACGTAATTTACCGAAATAAATTATTATCGAATTTTTTTTAAAAAAAAGAAAATTGAAATCTATTTTTCGTAAATTAAAGTGTAAATGTTACTACATTTGAGAAATATGCAATAATAATGACTGTTATTCTGTAAATAGTCATTGCATGCATCAATGTAATTAGTGTTAAAATTGATTAGAGATAATTACTTCAATCGATCGCAGTCATCAATACACAACACATCAATATGATCGTTGGAGTTTATATTCACACACAAATAATGTGTTTTTTTATATTGACATCATTGTTATGTTCGTCAGTAGGTACGCTTGAAGTTATTATGAGTTCACCTTAGTCGACAAAACGCGAACAAGACAATGAACCAGCGTCCAGGTAGGCTAACTTGAATGCCAAAACGGCAAAACAGAAGACTTGATATAGTAGCGTAGAAAGTATATTCTACAAACATCCAGCAAGTACACAATATACAATCAAGCATACAACTCTCGTTTATTTATACATCATAGAAACGTCCTTGGGACAGTTACGAAAATAGCACACTAATAAAATACACAGCAGCCAATCACAGCCATGGATTTAACTGGTGGGAAATGAAATCTCAAGCTGAACTGATCAGCCCATGGTGGCAAATGTGAATTCCAAAATAAGGGCATTTATCAAGCGAGTTTTGGGGATCTAACATCCCCAACAATCATCAATCAGCCAATGTTAAACTACCAGTGGTAATCTGAAAGAACTGGACAGCCATTTTGTCTTAGTATGGGGATTCACCAGCAGTCAGTATCCACGACCTCGCAATCGGAAATCAGACCCACGACCTTGGATCTTGCGAGAGAACGCCTAACCGTTAATGAATAATTGAAATACCTTTTTCTAATACTGTTTAAATGATTGATACACAAGTGTCACATTTATACGGGGAATCATTTCCAAGTTCATTACGTTATTATATATTATGTGGAGATCATTGTTTTAACACACTGAATTGATGAATCAGTCACTGTTAGACCACCATTGAAAACCTGGAACCACTGGACAACCGTTTCATCTTCATACGAAACTCATCAGCCGGGCGCATCCACGACTCCTATTGCTACTTGTAGGATTCAAACCCACGACCTTCGATCTTGTGTGCGAACGTCTAACCTCTGGAACAATGGGTCGGCATCCAACGGTGTTAATATCTAATTCTGGTTAATCTAGGGATTTTGTATGACCTCATCTATTCGTGTTTGGCAGTTATTACCTATATACGACATGTTTGAACTCCACTAGTCACATCCCATTAGAACTCCGAGAACGTCCTGATGAAGCTAGTCACTTGTGGGCACATTGTACGATTTTTTCAATCAAAGTTATGGAGATAATTGTTTATTAGTGAAATCATGACTGAATCATTTTTAGTTCACGATTAGAAACCTAAAAGCACTAAACGACGGTCTCGTTCTCGGTATCCAACGGTGTTAAAGTCTAACTCGGATCTAGTAATCTATCGCGAATTTTTAGGTTTTCGTGTTTGATATTCAAAGTTTACGGATGATAAACTTCAAACCAGTGCGGACCAAATTTATTGGTATTTCCAGCTTTTGAAAGTGTTAGGATATTCATTCAATATCCTAAGATCATTGTTCGTAAATCTAATTCTATTGGTCTATTCCTATCACTCGTCCTAACTATTAATGTTGTTTCTTATTGGTCATCCTAACTGTCAAAGTCACAGACTTCAATGTTGTTTCCTGTTCAACCTTACTGTATAAATAGGCATTTTCTGTAACATTTTCTGACCCGGATTCCTAGTCCAGGATCCTGATTCTCTTCTGGACTGGGACCTCGTACTTTCTGGATGCTTGTACAATACATGTTCTACTTCATATCAAGTCTTCTTCTTTTACTCAACGAGGCTTTTGGACAATCGGATTAGAGTAGCCTGTCGTGCAACTGGATCCTCTATCCTCACTCTCTTTTTCTGACTACGATAAACTCTTCATAGTTCAAGCATATCAAATGACATGTTCATGCGCATGCGTAACAGAAAGGGCTCATTATGTTTTTTGATAAATAAATAGGTACACATTGAAATCCCCAATCAATCATTATTAGACCACCATTAGAAACCTGGAAGACGGCTGTTTCTTAGTGATGTGTGGGACTCATCAGCAGAGCGCATCCACGACTCGTGCACCTCAAAGGATGCCGGCCCAGTAGTCCAGAGGTTAGGCGTTCTCGCCCAAGACCGAAAGTCTCAGGTTCGAATTAACAGATGTCAACCCAAGTGACTGTAAATCCGTTGACCAGATAACATCAATAATAAGCAACTGTGCGAGATGACAAACTAGATTCCACCTGAATAAGAAATTAAGAAAGAGCACTGGATAGGACACATTTCGTAGATCACTCAGCTGTGTAACAAGACAAGAGCTTAACTTCGAAGCTGAAGGAAATGACCTAGACTAATGTGAAGTGACTGACTGAAGTGTAAACCAATTCCAGAATGAGCCAATAACTTAAATACATTATCATAGGAGAAAATTCAAATCTTTAGGTAGTTAATTTTACTATCACTGAAAATGTACGTAACCTCACTTCATCATCAATCAATCATGATGAATTTTGGTAACCGTCTCGTTTTGTTTTCCTAATTATTTTCAGGACTTCCCTCAATCACCACCAGTATCCGAGTCCATTATTAGTTCTCCAAAAGAAATGACAACGCCTTCTGAAACCAGAGATGAAAGAAATCAATGTCAGTCAGCGTCGAACACAATACCTTCTCCATTACTTGACTGTACCGCAATGCCCAATATTGTATCTCAAAAGTATGCCGAAGGCAATAACAAATCATCCGTTCCACAAAATATAGCTCAACATCCCCCTAGTTCCATTCAAACAAATGATACATTCTCTAATCAAGAAATACCGAATTCTGTACACATTGAAGCTGCACCACATTCTCCGAAACTTTGTTACACAGGATATACATTGTCTCAATAATGATTCTTACTATTGTTATTATTAGAACAGAGTTATCCCTTTTTATTTTATTTCTAAACTGATTGGTTGATATGATTCACTCTTTGATATATATATATATATATATATATATATATATATATATATATATATATATATCCCCATTATAGTAGAAATATTTAACCTGAATAGAACATATATATATATTGTACAATCTAAGAAAGATTCGCATTGTTTTAATTAACTGTGATACATTTTGTCAAGGTCAAATTCTTTTATTATTTTCAAATTTTACGCTACTTGTACAATTTTTCAAACTCAAAGTTGCAATGTGTTCAATGTACAAAAAGAAAACGCAAGCAAGCGATCATAGTTTGTTTCAATGTAGCTCAATTTCTAAATACAAATAGAAATATTTGTACATAATGTTGTCAGCCATATTGATTTGAAAACAAATATTGAATATATATAATTTTAATTTTCAGAAATGAAATATATATATATATCTATTTAAAACAAATAGTCCCTATTATAAATTTTGATGGAACAGTGAGAAGATGCAGTGCATCTGAAAAAATGTGATGTATTCGCGTCTCATACATGTCGAACAATTTGGTCATACATATACACACTTGTCAAGGCATTTTATACGAAGATTAATAAAAGATCAATTAAATAAAAGTTCAAATAGACTTACTTACTTATTTACGCCTGTTAACCGCAATGGACTATAGGCCGCCGACCAGTTTTCTCCAACCAACTCTGTCCTGCGCTTCCCTTTCTAGTCCTGTCCAGTTTTAGTTCATTTTTCTGATGTCTTTCTCTATTTCTCAGCGTAATTTGTTCTTTGGCCTTCCTCTTTCCCTTTGACCTTGAGGGTTCCATGTGAGGGATTGACTTGTGACGCAGTTCGGTGCTTTTCGTAATGTGTGTCCTATCTACTTCCACCGCCTCTTCCTGATTTCCTCCTCAACTGCAATCTGGTTTGTTCTCTCCCACAGTAAGTTGTAGCTGATGGTGTCTGACCAACGAATCCGAAGTATTTTTTGTAGACCACTGTTCATAAATACTTGTATCTTGTGGATGATGGCTTTGGTAGTTCTCCAAGTTTCCACTCCATACAGTAAAACCGTCTTGACATTTGAATTGAAAATCCTGAGTTTGGTTTTGGTTGACAGATGTTTGGAGTTCCAGATATTTTTCAACTGTAGAAATGCAGCCTTTGCTTTGCCAATCCGCTCCCTCACATCTGCATCGGATCCACCTTAGTTGTTGATGATGCTGCGGAGATGTGTAAAGGTGTTAACGTCTTCCAAGGCATCTCCATCAAGAGTGATTTGCTTGGTGCATGTTGTGTTGTATCGTAGACTCTTACTTTTACCTTAATGTATGTTGAGAACCGCTGCTGCTAAGGCTGCATGTACGATAGAAGAGCCACATCATCTGCGAAGTCCATCTGCGTCCTAGCTGTCCATTGAATACCGTGCTTCCTTTCACATGTTGTCGTCTTCATAGCCCAGTCATAGACATAAGGTGATAATTGTAAATAAATGAGAGAGAAAATTAACGTAATATGAAAAGAATAAGAAAGGGTTAAAGATTACCAGGGTAAATTCAAGTTTATAACAAACTATTTCTGTACACGTAAGGAGAGTTTTGATTTTCGAGTAGGCAAGGCCTCCATAAACCTCAAAATTTGTCATTCACCATTTCTATACAATGTTTCTATGGCTGTCTTGATGTCAATCTTATTCCCTGTCTCAATAATGTGTTTTGTGATCGATGAACATGGTTTTCTATTTCCAAAGCTTATTGGCTTAACTGATTTTGAAGCCACTTAGAAACATGTTCCATAACCCTTGATTGCAAAGTCCGATTACTCCTCCCTATGTATAGTGTGTCCACACAAACATGTAAATCGATAAATGCAATGGGATGTGATGTAATTATTCGAGCAACGTTTAGGTATATGCGAAATCATGGACTTGGTCTTTTCAATGATAATCAGTTTAGCAGCGTTGTATGCTTACTATATGGCTGCTTTTAGTCTCTGTCTTATGATTAGACCATTTGTTTCACTTCTAAATGGCAAAGTGATATAAACATTTTTCTTCTCAGCAGAATGAAAAACTGGCTTTTGTCTTAACTGGTTTTTACACCTACTGATGAACTTTAGCGGATAGCCGTTTGAAATCAATGCTTCAGTTAAGAATTTTGCATCGTCTTCAAATGTATCCACGGTGCAAATACATTGAGCCTTATTGAAGAGGCATTGTACTAAAATCTCGCTTATATTGCAGTGGACGAAAACTGTGATGAATGATTATTAATTATTACTATTATTGATAAGCAAGTTTGAATAATATCAGAAATCTATCACGTGAGAGAGGTGGACTGGGTGTAGCAAGGGCAAATTTATTCTGATTAGATGACCGTTGCACTACATGTACGTCAGACTGACTAGATCCACCACTCTGAACCATAGTTATGTCACGTTGTTGCAGATTAGTATCTATCAACATCTTCATAAGTTTCAGCTGTTGCTCAAGTAATAATTCAAGTTTGGAAGAATCCATGTTTCCAAAACCACTGCTGGCAATTGATATGCTTGAAACTATTGCAAGTTCACGTTACTCACTAAACGGTGAAAAGACAAATAATGCACTGACACGATGGGCTATTCTAGTCCGTTGTTCCTGACCCGGCTAAGGCACAGAAAGTGTATTCTACAAGTACCCGGAAATACAAGTAATATATGCGCAAGAACACAATATATCCCCAACAGTGTAGCGTAGAAGTGATGAATGATTATTATTATTATTATTATTTAGTCTTTCAATGGATAAGCAAGTTTGAATAACATCAGAAATCTATTACGTGAAAGCACCTGTTTCATTTTACATCAAACAATGATTTTGTTTAAATATCTCGACCACAGCTGTGGTCTACTTGGTCGGGATCCTGAGAGATGATGATAATCGATGGTTAAAGGCGTTCAATGACATGACTTACAAGCATTTGCACTGATGCAGGTGCATCCAATCTTTGTGTTCTCCTAATTCTCTAATCTTCTGAATTATTTATCAACTTTATCTTTCTCATTCTAAGTTTTTGTTTTACTAAAATGATACTTCTTGAATAATATTTTCCAAACCTTAATCTCTTCGATTACTGATAATACTTCTAGTATCTCTACTACTATGAGATTTCAATTGACAATTGCGTCTCTGTGTGATAATGTGGTATTGGTAACTTGAACTGATCTACATATGTACAAAGTTCTACATTGTAAATGACTTATTGACTTGTTTAAATATTGCTAGAATAAGCTATCACTCACCTTTCCACATTGATACTTGTAAATTAATTCTCTTAGTGTTGAGAAATTTTAGGAAGTAAACTGATCCTTGTATACTCGATTATCAGATTGACTCTAGTCCACTACTCTATTGAAAGCTGAAGTTTTAGTGTTTATATTCGGATTAGTGTCATTATTATTGCGATTATTATTATTTGTAAAACAAAGAAACATAGGTAGAGATAGAACTAATTTCAAAATGAAATTATTCTTAATTCATCCATTGAAAAATGAATATCATTTCTTCATTTATAGTGTTATGGAGATGATGATTGTGCTTTGAAATCATGAATGACCGATATTAGGAATCAGGAAGCACTGAAAGACGGCCGTTTCGTCCTGATATATGACTCATCAGCTATGCGTACCCACGACTCCTGCAACTCGCAGTATTCGAAACTACCATTTCCATAACATTCTAATCGATGGATCATACAATGTGCACACTAATGACTAGCTTCGTGTAGAAAGTCTCGGAGTTCGATTGAGAAGACTTGACCAATGGAGTATAACCCTGTCCGGTGTGTAGGCAGTAACTACCGAAGACAAATGGATTAGTTCGCGCAAAATCCCTGGATTGATCAGAGTTAGACAATAACAGCGTTGGATGCCGACCTAGTGGTCTAGAGGTTAGGCGTTCTCGTGCAAGACCGAAGGTCCTGTGTTTGAATCCTGAGAGTGGCAGAAGTAGTGGTTGCGGACTGCTGATGAATCCCATACGATGACGAAACGGCCGTCTAGTGCTTTCAAGTTTTTAATAGTATGGTCTAACAATGATTCATTCATGATTTCAAGGTGAAAAGATTATCATAAATTATTTTTATGTGATGTCATCATGTAGTTTAATCATAAAGCTAGTCTTACTACAAAACCATTGGAAACTAGAGAAGACAAAGTAACAACTTAATCAATACCGTTACTTATCAACAGGGTTTCCAATCATTCGATCAAGTATGAAGTATTAAGCTTTCATAGCAATCATGATAAGAAAAGGTATCTAGCTGAAGAATTTCAATCTCATTTACAATGTCATTTATCGGTTAAATACGCGACATATATATGTAGCGTCGATAGAAATCTGACAAAGAACTAGCTTACTTAGTTTATCAGAGAAAGATTGGATTAATTTTAGAATCAAGTATAACTTTCTTTTTGCAGATAGATTAAAGAAAGATAGTTGAAAATATTTAACTAATAATTTCTTAATAAATCTTCAAAGTTGAATGCCCAAAATGTCAAATGTGTTTTCTGACAATGTTAAGTTCACAATGAATAATTGAAAGATTACTAACTGAATAATGAGATTGAAAGTTGTAAATGCCTAATTAATATGTACATGTTTGACTAAAAATGAAAAAAAATAATGTTTTATTAAAGTCAGTAATCAAAATGATAATAATAATAATAATAATAATAATAATAATAATAATAATAATGGTTGTTTAGTTTACGATTGGAACTTTGAATCATTTCAAGGAACCAAACTAAACATCAGGTTTTTAATGGTATGGTCTAGCATTGATCGATTCATGATTTCAATAGAGTAACTTGACAATTTCCACAACTTCATAATGCAAATTACTTGGCTCACCAGTGACTAGCTGCGTGAAGAATTATCTCCGAGTTCTAGTGAGAAGTCATAACCAGTGGGTGTGAAGCAGCGCTCACCGAAGACAATGGATGAAGACGGGCGAAACCATTAATTGACCGAAGTTAGACATCAACACCATTAGATTCCGGCTTAGTGGTCTAGGGTCGAGGGTTCCATGATCGAATCCTGCCAGTAGTCGCAGTCGTAGATGCACACTGCTTACCAGTCAGTCGTATACCAGGACGAAATGGCCATCTAGTGCTTTCAGGATTCATGATTTCACAAAGTAATCATCAATAAAAAGACATTGATATACCTATTTATGTAAAAGTGTTCGTTTATTAATCTTTAAAGTTCTTCGCTTTAACCCGGTAAGTGATTGCGTCAACGATTAGTTCATTCAAAGGACCTTTCTTTTCACGAATTTGTTCATAGACCAACGAGGTGAACAAACGGTGTCAGGGTGTATACCAAGTCAACTGTTCTTGTGGACCTTAGTCAGTGGGTACTAGTATCAGCATGGTTAAGAATAGGAATCATGCAATCATAAAACAATGTCATCATTTTGCAGCTGTTAAATAATGAAGCTTTTTCCTTTTTACATGAAGACGCAAATTTACGTAATGATGTGGCTTGACTACGACTTCTCTACATTGTTCAAGCTATTTAGATCAAACCCAACAAACTGTATCCTATTTATATGAAAAACAGGTATATTCAGACTCCGTTTGTTTACACTAGTCCACTACTGGATCAATAAATACGTGCATTAGACATTATAAACCTTTCGTCCTAATTCCCGATTCAATTGATAACTTTCCCAATGCTACATATTTATTCTTTTATCGTAAATACTACTCATATATTACCCATTACATTTATATGCTATTATGATTATTATTGACGAAATGAAATTCTCCCATTAGGCGTTGTATTTACACAATTCATTGCACTATCAGACGAATTGTAACTTGACCCCTTAGAATAAATTACGCTGACCTTTATCAAATGACCTTTTTTAATTTACAAATGACAATCTTGTGGTATTTATTCTGTAACAGATACAAACATTCATCATTTTTAACATAGAAAAATATCTCATTCACTAATGGATATTTTATTTCAACCTTGTGCTTCTACACGTTGAAATCATGAATCAGTCATTGTTAGATCACTATTAGAAACCTAAAGGTACTAGACAGCCGTTTGGTCTTTTTATGGGACTCAGCAGTAGCTATGCACATCCACAACTCCTGCTATTCGCAGGACCTTCGGTTGTGTATGTGAATAGCCTGACGTCTGGAACACTGAGTCAGCCAGTAGTATCCATCGGTATGGATGTCTAACTCTGATCAATCTAAGGATTTTGTACAACCTCACCCATTTATGTTACTATCTATTTAGTTACTGCCTACACCCAACACAGCTGAACTCTACTGGTCACGTCTTCGCACTGGAACTGCGAGAATTTCCTCACAAAGCTAGTTACAAGATTTATGGGGCCCATTATTTTTACATATTAAAATCACGATCGAATAGTTGTTAGACGACTATTAGAAACCTGGAAGCACTGAAAGATGGTCATTTCTTCTTGGTAAGGGACTATTCGTCATTGGCAGTGCACATGCACGACTACTGTTACTACTAGCAGGATTCGAACACAGGATGTTCGGTCTTGCGTGCGAACGCTAAACGTCAAGAAATAAAATAACACAATAACTATGTCATTCTCACTGTAGATAGAACCTAATGATAAAGTTTTTCAAATAATCGTTCGTTTAAATAATCACCATTTTGTATTGAGGTTATTCAGATATTGATCTTACAAAAACTGACTGTAAAACTTAAAAAAACTGCGATAATATCTGAAATCGATGTACTTTTTTTAGGTTTTGATAGTTCTGTTACGAATTAAACTTTGATTTTCGCAAGCTCTCTATTGATTGTAGGAAAGATGCCGATAATGCAACAAGGTTTTGTAAATGTTACATTCGAACTGTTTCTAGATTTCAAGGACATTTATGTTTAAATGTATATTGATACGATAAGTATCTGACTAATCAGACAGATTTGTTTGTGACCAATTTGGTCTCTCCTGCTGTTACGAGTATGAGGGCGGTTATCACTTCCCGACTGCCCACACCGTTGAAAGGTTTTTTCTTGAGGAACCTGAACAAGAAGGTAGATTAATGTCGGTCTTAGAGACCTGAGAGCGTGACCGCAGAGCCCAAGGGACAACTGCTCGAGGCCGGTCACGCACGGCCTTTTTATGAGAGGTTTTTCGGCTATTAGCTCCGCTCTTAAACGCCCTTAGTGGGCATCCTTACCACCGGAGACGGAAATCCGTGAAATAAGGTGAGGTGTGATATGTTTAGGGTCGACCTTTTCTAACCCTTCCTTCCTTGTGAGAAGGCAGCATCTCTGCAGATGCTGTTTGTCCGAGGGGAACACCTCTCTGCAGTCAGTAGTAAGACTTCGCCCTGAGGCCTTGAGTAGCTGCTTCTAGTCTCATTGTTCTCCAATCGACCTTCTTGGCATAGCAGAACCTTTAAGAACATATGTTCCATCCAGTATAGTTCGGTCGGGTCATGACGACAGGCAAGCCCGACCACCACTTCTAGATAGTAGCTTCAGTAAGGTCTGTCTAATCCAACATATGCAAAGGTTTTAGAGGATGAAAAAACCTTCACATAACTGAGCAGCATCATTGATGAGTGAGATGAATACGATGCAGATATGAAGGCGCTAATTTGGAAAGCAAGGACAGCTTTTCTATGATTGAAGAATATCTGGAATTCAAAACAACTATCAACCAACACCAAAGTCACCATTTTCAATACGAATTTTGAGACAGTTATACTGTATGGGGTGGACACTTAGAGAACCACGAAGACCATCATCCCAGAGATACAAGTGTTTGTTAATAGTTATCTACGCAAAATACTGCTAATCCATTGACCAGACATTATTAGTAACAAGCTACTGTGGGCGAGAACAAACCATGTTGCAGCAGAAGAGGCAATCAGAAAGAAGCACTGGAAGTGGATAAGAAACACTTTGAGGAATGCACTGAACTGTGTAACAAGGCAAGCCCTCATTTAGAATCTTCTAGGCTATAATAGAAGAGGTAGATCACAGAAATCTTTCTGTGACGAGCATTTTTATTGGAACTAATAAGTGCATTTTTATTATTTAGCTTTCTTATTTATACATACATACATATATTACAATTTATTTTTAAACTTGAGTTTCTAATATTGTATGGCTTATAGACTATACTACTACTACTACTACTACTACTACTACTACTACTACTACTACTACTACTACTACTACTACTACTACTACTACTACTACTACTACTACTACTACTACTACTACTACTACTACTACCTCACTGTTAGTTTCAATCATGCTAACGTTTGACTTGAAACTTTCTTTGGATAGATTTACTCAAATCTAACTATTTTTATAACAGAATAAACGCCAATCATTTGGAAAGCTTGTATTTACTATTATCAGTAGCATTCCATGTAAAAATTCTATTGACAATTGAGTGCAGGTATCAATTCCTTATGCGTATATTAGATTACTTGATGTACACGACATATTTTACTGTAGTTTAACTAGTTCACTTAAATTCTTGATACTTCCATCATGCGATCATCTGATTATTCATAATGTTTATCCATCATTCTGCAAATTTAATTTTCGTGTAGAATATTTACTGATAACCATCGCACTACAGTGTTTTTGCTGGGGACGTTAGATCCCTAGAACTCGCTTGATAAATGCCTTATTTCGGAATTCACGTTTGCAAGCATGGGCTAATCAGTTAGTTAACCTTGAGATTTCATTTACCACCAGGAAAATCTATGGCTGTGATTGGATGCTGTGTATTTTAATGCGCTATCTTCGTAACTGTCCCAAGGACGTCTCTATAGAGTATAAATAAAAGCAATGTGAGTACTTGGATTCATTGTGTGTGCTGGCTGGGTATCTGTAGAATACACTTTCTACGCTTATCAAGACTTCTCTTTAGCCGTTTCAGATCAAGGTAGCCTACCTGGACGCTGATTCATTTTCTAGTTCGCTTTTATCTACTAAGGTGAACCCGTAATAGTTTCAAGCATACCTAGTGACGAACCTAACAGTTTTATACGACGTTACTGCGCTGTAATATAAAAATTCCACCTCGAATTCATAAGGTTCAGTTGTTTGAAAAATCACGCTTACTATTTATGTACTACTGTATATTACATTTATATTGGGTTTAGTTAACTTTTTTCCAATTTCAACCGTCAAGAAGCAGTTAACATGGTGAAACAAGGACATAACCTCTGAAATAATTCAGATTGTAGTGGGCAGAAAAATTAAAAATGTTTAACCGAATAGGATTCACATCGACAGTTGTTCAACTCCAACAATGATTGTTCAGAATTTTTTTGATTATTTTCTGGTATATTCATGGTAATACTTGGAAAAATAGCCTATTCAGGTACATCGTTAACGGAACATTATATACTGAAGTCAAACTATGAAGGAAATAATAAATACAATCTGAACATAATAAACGCATGCCAGAAAGATAAGAAATTATTTATGATATGAATTATTAGCTAGGATGTAAAAGTGTAGAAAATCGTTTTCATGAAATGAAGTAATTTTTCTGCCTCCAACACTTCGCGAATTTTTTCAAGTAAATTTTATACTACTCACAACATTATGAAAGTAGTTTGATTCTAAAATTATATTTATCATCTCTGATTTACTTAAATAGTCTATAAATGAATGTAAGGGACACTAATTGGCCTGATATGGAAACACTTATTTGTTCAAAAGTTTACCTCAGTACGCAGTACGATAAAATGACTGACAGTTTTCGCAAACCAAATATTATTAAGTTGCTTTCAAAAATTCATCACGTGATTTGTTTTTAAAATAGTTTTACCATAAATGGTTCAAAATAATTCAAAAAGATAATTTTCAATCATCAGTCATCGTCAGGTCACCATTAGAAACCTAGAGGCACTCGAGAGCCATTTTGTCAATAACTCTTTCATGAAAAATCATTAAATGGCCTCGCTAGTTCTTAGCATCGTTAAGAAATTTTTGAAGTTCCACTGAGAACATGTGACTAGCGGAGATTAACACTGTCCAGTGTAGGTAGTAACTACTTAAGACAATGAGTGAGGTCGCGAAAAATCTTCAGATCAATTGAAGTTAGGTATTAGCACCGTTAGATGCCGGCCAGTTCAGTGGTTCAAAGGTTAGTCGTTTGCGCGCGCAAGACCAAAGGTCCTCACTTCGAATCTTGCTAGTGGCAGGAGCAGTGGATGCGCACTGCCACTGATAAGTCCCATACCAGGACGGAACGGCTGTCCAGTGCTTCCAGGTTTCTAATGATGTCTCAACGATGATTGGTTCACGATTTCAGTAAGTTTTAACTTACCTTAAAAATTGTACGGATGATAAAGTATACTTTTATTCATGAAAAAAATTTTGGCACAACTTTTATTGAAAAATAGGTTGTGTACAATTTATTGATTATAAATATATATAACATTCACTGAATTTTACATTCAACTGACCCCAAATGATTGCCGAGAAATTTAACATTTTGTTTAAAAACAGTCAACTGTCTTAGTGTTATATATCAGACGTTTGATTACATATAAGAAAGTTTAGCCTAATTTGATACAGCAAAATTTTAATGTGAAATATCAAATGACCTAATTTGTATGAAAATAGATTGTCAAATACTTTTGACAAATCAGTAATCGATCAATGTTAGACTGCCGCAAGAAACCTTGAAGCACTAGAGTGTCATTTCATCCTTTTCTGGGACAGTGAGCATCTACGACTATCACAACTCGCGTTATTCGAACTGAGAGCCTTCGGTCTTGTACACGAACGCTTGAACTCTGAACCTCTCCACCCGTTATCTATTGGTGCTAATGTCTAACTTCGAATAAATCTCAAGAATTCAAATCTAGGTTATGGAATGATTTTTAAAAAGCATAATTTATTGATTGGAATATTTCTGTTCTGTAAATGTTGCAAATTAGAAGGCAATTCGATCTTTGAATAAAATCATTCACTAGTCATCTTGCGATAGACACAAATCTTCGATTTATGTGTAGTTTTAGAAAAAACTCAATTCACATTTTCTTAATGACTAATAAGTTTTCACTAGAAGATATTATTCGAGTTTGTACATCAGAACCTGAGGTCAAATTCATTTTTTCTGAATAACATCATCAGCACAAACTTCAAATAGAGATAAGTTATTCGAATGTCTTCATGTTTGACCCGTAGCTTGATTGTAACCTCCTTTGATCTGTTTCTTGATCTTATGTTTGTTCATGATTATTATTTGATTGATTGATGAAGTGGATCAATGTCGATGTGTTTGTTGATTGCCGAGTTGATTGATTTGAGTGCCAAGCTTCTAAAAATTCCTTAATGTTCTTTATGCTGTTTCTATCCAGTATTTCTACATTGTTCCATAGTCGTTCATAGCTTTATTGATTTAAGGGAAAAGATGTCGCGGCATTTGATTGCTATCTGATGTTCACGCAAACGAAGCTCAAAAGAACATCAATTTTGTCCTATGTAATGTTTTTCTTCATTTGTTATTTTATCCTTTGGCCTACCATAGGATTGATCGAAGTGATTCTGTTAGTTTGTGTGCTACACCTATTCCAAATGGTCTCAGTAGTCATGCTGTGGGTTCCGATATTTTCATATACTTCATCTTAATCACTTCAGAGCAACAAGAATAGTAATTCCTATGCGGTGGAGTTAGTTAATCGATAGTTTGACAGATAAGCTAGTCTACTAAGAACTTATATTAGCTGACTTATATATTCTTAACATTTGGCTTTCTGAATAGGCATTATAATGTGTATCAGTCAAATCCTTCAGGTATACATACTTTGCGTTCTTTAAGAATTTATACATAGCTTACTTACTGACTTACTTACTTACTTATGCACTTACTTACTTACTTACCTACTTACTTACTTATGTACTTACTTACTTACTTACTTACTTACTTACTAACTTACTTACTAACTTACTTACTAACTTACTTACTTACTTACTTACTTACTTACTTACTTACTTACTTACCTACTTACTTACTTATGCACTTACTTACTTACTTACCTACTTACTTACTTATGTACTTACTTACTTACTTACTTACTTACTTACTAACTTACTTACTAACTTACTTACTTACTTACTTACTTACTTACTTACTTACTTACTTACTTACTTACTTACTTACTTACTTACTTACTTACTTACTTACTTACTTACTTACTTACTTACTTACTTACTTACTTACTTACTTACTTACTTACTTACTTACTTACTTACTTACTTACTTACTTACTTACTTACTTACTTACTTACTTACTTACTTACTTACTCTTGTTACCAGTAAAGTAACCTAGGCCGTCTACTAGCAAGTTACTTTTCCTGGTTAGCGATTTTTTGTTTAGCGAGTTGGATTTCTACGGGATAGGATCTCCCAAACGCCATGCCCAACCAGCAGCAACCGTAGAAGGGTTTCCACTTCATTCTCAATGTTTTTATTATCACTCTGTTGACAAAACCTCTCTTAAAAAAATAAAATACCATTTGTTTTCTTTCTGTGAGTCAGTTACGATTACTAAAATCACGAAAACAATTTTATCAACTTCCTTTTCTTATCAATTTTCAAATTTTTTTCCTTTCATTTACAGAAAAATAAAACAAAATCAAAAAAAAATTCTGATATGGAACTAAGCATAATTATAATTGAACTATATTTTATGTCGTTTGTTTTAATTAAGACCCTACAAATTTTTCTATTCTTAAATGATTTAAAAAAAATCAAAACACACACTGATTAAATTCTTAATAAAAGCAAAAAAAAAAATAACTCCAGTCAACAGATTTCTTTTTTCTTTTAAAAAACCGATACGCAATATACATTGAACCAAATGCTTTGAAGAATTGAACATTGAATAATTGAACACTGAATAGTTGGACATTGAACACAGCATTGTATTCATACCCTAGCTGTGTGATAATCAGGTAGGTCACTCTAGAAAATCTTTTTTTTTTCAAACTAATCTCTTGTGAAATATAATTTTGTAAGTTGATATATATATAGATATATATCTTCAGTAAATAGTTACTCACAGAAATAAATTCACTTCATTCATTAATCTACAAACGAAATTATGTCTAATGGACAGAGCAATTTTCAAAGACGAATCATTATTCAATATGGTAAAGTTAAATCAATTTCATTTCGTATTGTATAATTAATTACAATATGTCTTTCTTGTTTTAGTGATAATCTACATTCTCTTCAGTTATTATCATGGTAAGTTGTATTTTCTTAAATTGTTTTGTAAATTTGAATTGATCGAAAAGTGACTTTTGTCAAGAATTTCATGTTGATATTAAATTCTAGGAGTTCTAGTGACTAGAAGAGTTCAACCTTGTCGGGTGTAGACAGTTACTTATCGAAGATAAATACCAATGGATGCTAGCAAGTTCCGTGGTCGAAAGGTTAGGCGTTCGCATGCAAGATCGATGATCGTGGGTTCGAATCTTTCCAGTAGTAGTAGAAGGAGTCGTGGATGCCAACTAACACTGATGAGTCCTATACCAGGACGAAACGGCCGTGCTTCAGTGCTTCCAGGTTTCTAATTGTGGTACAACAATGACTAATTTATTGATCATTTCAACATGTAATCAAATATTGTTGGTTTTGATAAGGTAGACGTTGCAAGATCGTCATTATATGTAATTCTGCAGTTTTGAAATCTCTCTCTCTCTAATACGATTTGTAATGTTTGCATTACTGGTTATTACTTGAAAAGTAATTTGTACTTTACAGTGTTTGCCCTAATTGACACCATTTAATTCAGAAATATAAAAGTTAGTCGTAGTGCAGTGAAGGAGAACAAAAGTGGGGCAACCGAATTGTATTTAACGAAAATTACAGAGTTACTCAGTAAAATTGGAAAACCATATCGTAAATCGTTCATTTGCAAAATATCAGTCCATCATATCGAACTGGACTGTTCCTGTTGCAAAACATCAATCCGTTGTCACTATTCATGCGTTTCAGACAAATTCCATTGTGTTCCCACTCTTCCTTTCTTGATCTTCCCCCATCTTCTGCTGCCGGACATTACGTTGACACTCACGTCATACACTACTTATAAGTAGCTCGCACCACAGTATTAAAGATTACATAGTTAAAGAGTTCGATTTCCTTATTCGATATATGGTTATGTATTTACTTACACCATTTATCTCTCGTGAAAGCATAAGCTGCTAACCAGAGATCTACAATTAACCATGCTTTTCTCTCCTGTTCATTGTCTTAATGTCTGACTGGAGTTCTTAGTTCAGTGGGTTATTCTATCTGCTTCTTTTGCCCTTATTTTGAGAAATTCGGGTTAATTTTAACTATGTCATGCAATCTGATGATTTTTACAAGGTGTGATATATCCAATTGTAGTATCTTGTGCTGATTTTCTCAGCTGGAAACTGATTAAGTTTCTATCACAGCAAGTTATTACACTAATTGTGTAAAGTCGATTGATATAGAGTATTCAACGTATGCCTATTCAAAATGTAACTTTTATTGTGGTGACGTTTCGTTCTCTCTGATGGATGTTTTGGTTTTGAAGCTTTCATTGTCTACTTCTGAACAACATTAATAGCACAAACTTTAGATAGCAGAAGTGAAGTATTCGAATTTCTCCATGTTTGACCCATAGTTTATTCTGATTGGTTGTTGTTGACCTTAAGTCTGTGGTTGTTTGCACCACTGATTTGATTGTATTCCCCTTTTGATCTGTTTCTTGATCCTATGTCACCTATGATTTTTCTGATTGATTGATAATTTGGGTCATTGTCGATGTGTTTTTGTTGATTGCTGATTAACCTGAATTGATCAAGTTAGACATTAACACTGTTAGATATCGTCTCAGTGGTCCGATGGTTAGGCGTTCGCCTACAATACCGAAGGTCCTGGGTTGGAATACTGCAGGGTGCAGGAGTCATGGATGCGCACTGCTAATGAGTCCCATACCAGGACGAAACGGCCGTCCAGTGCTTCCAGGTTTCTAATGGAGTGGTCTAACATTGATCGATTCATGGTTTCAAATCAAAGATTGACCTGAGTGTCAAGCTTCTAAAAATGCTCTAGTGTTCTTTGTACTCCCTCTATCCAGTATTTCCACATTGTTACAGTCGAATGTAGCATGTCCATAACTGTCGGTGTGTATTGATATAAAAGCGAAGAATTGTCGTTGCATTAGACTGCTAATTGATGTTCACGTAAACGAAGTCTCTTAGGTAATCAAAAGGTATTAGCTCCAATATATTATAAGACATCAAGAGAATATACTTTAATGTCCGCCATCGTATGCGATGGCTTAGCAGATGTTTAAACAAAAAAGTACCAGTTTCAAAAACTTGTCATATCAACTAACAACATAAAATAGAGAATTCTTTCAACTACTTGTTTTAACCGAGATATCAAAGAGAGCATGTGTCTGGTTTCAGAGAGTATCGATTTTTTTTAAATCTATTCACTAAACGTGTGTTGTGTTTGAATCGTTAAAACAAATTCATAAAGTTTATTACAACAACAATAAAAAATATCACACAAGTAAAATGAACTCAAAATTATTACAAGTTTGTGCTTTAATAGGATTTTTCTGGATTTAACAATAGATTGATTTATTTGAAGCCATGAATCGACCAATGTTAGACCACACCATTAGAAACCTGGAAGAACTGGACGGCTGTTTCGTCATGGTTTCGAATAAAACTTAACAATCTTCGCAACAACCGCGTAATGCAAATTACCTGTGCTCACTAGTGACTAGCTTCGTGAGGGATCTTTTCCGAGTTCTAGTGGGAAGACGTGACCAGTGAAGTTCAATCTGTTTAAGTGTAGACAGTAACTACCGAACACTGTATATGAGGTTGCGCAACTCTGTGAATTGATCAAGTAAGACATTAACACCGTTAGATACCGGCTCAGTGGTCCAGACGTTTGGCGTTCGCCTACAATACCGAAGGTCCTGGGTTCGAATCCTGCGGCGTGCAGAAGTCGTGGATACGCACTGCTGATGATTACCATACCAGGACGAAACGGCCGTCCAGTGCTTCCAGGTTTCTAATGGTGGTCTAACACTGGTCGATTCATGGTTTCAAATAAAACTTAACAATCTTCACAACAACCCCGTAACGCAAATAGATTGATTGTGTACAAATTCATAGAGCTGAATTTAATGACTGACAGCATCAGAAAGCTAATGAAGAGTATTGATGACAGTTAAACATCTATAAAGATGAAAGGTAATTTTACACTGAGATGATGGAGAAAATTTCTAGCTTACGTGGATGATTCTGATGGAGTCTCATTGTCTGAGCTGGCAGTTTTGGTTAATGGAGCTGTACAAAATCATAGGCAGCAAGAACTTCGGATCAAGAATTGAAGTATTCGAATTTCTCCAAGAATACTTGGAATACTTCACTTCTTCTTGACCGGAAGTTTGTGCCGGTTATGAAGTTTGTTGTTCAGACCACCAACACCAGTAGACAACCGTTTCTTCCTGGTATGGGACTATTCATCACTGGCAGTGCTCATCCACAACTCCTGCACCTCACTGTATCCGAACTTAGGACCTGTGGTATTGAGCGCGAACGACAAACCTCTGGACCACTGAGCCGGTATCTAACTGTGTTCATGTCTAACTTCAATCAGCACACGGTCTTGCGCAACCACATACACTATCTTTGGTAGTTACTGTCTACACCCGAACAGATGAACTTCACTGATCATGACTTCCAACTACAATTCGGAGAAGATTCTTCACGGAGCTAGTCACTAGTGAGCACATGTAATTGCATGACAGAGTTACTGATGAGTCCCATATCAGGAAGAAATGTCCGTCTTTCAGTGCTTCCAGGTTTCTAATGATAGTCTAACATTGATCGATTCATGATTTCGAATGTGCTATAGTTGTGTTGAAAAGTGTCTATTTAACAATATTCTATTTTATTTTATTACAGGTACAGCATATTCAAAGGCTACAAAGAAAAAACCAATCATTAGTCCACAACACGCAAATCCATGTCATGATTTCTATCGATATGCATGTGCTGATTGGGATAAAAATAATCCTATACCGGATAGCGAATTGGAAATGAATACTTTTAAAAAAGCTGAAGCAAATATTGACCAGTATTTTTACAATTTAATTTGTAAGTGTTCAATTACTTACTGTTGAATACAGTGATTCGTCGTATTTCCTTGACCATTTTAAAATGAAAAATTGATATTATATTGTTACGCTTTGTCATCGGTGAGAGATTTGAGTTTCAACTGTTCGCACCGACGGTTGACAATGCCAGCATGGGTCATGAAGTTATTGGAATCATTCATGACCAGTTTTAAGCAGCAGTAACGAGTATTAAAAATAGAGTGTTGATCATTAAAACGTTTGCTGAGGGACTGAACAGTAGCATCGAATGATCGGTCGTGTGGGTTCGGCGGCAGGATGTAGTTGCAAGACTGGTCCAGTTCTGACGGACCAAGTTTTCTAAGAAGAAGACGCACCTTTCAGAAATCATCTTTGTCAGCAAAATCAACTTTGAAGAGGTCTTCCTAACGCCTGAACCAAGTATCAAATGTAATATTGGCGTCAGGATCTGAAATACCACTGGTCATACCATCGACTGACTGAGGAATTGTCGGTGTAGATGAGACTAGAGAAGAGGTGTGCATTTGATTAAGTATCTCCATCAGTTTCAGCTGTTGTGCAAACAGTTTATATAATTTAGCTGTATCAATCATAATTCACCAGATCGTTTGTCAAAACGCCGTCGCTAAATTGGTACGCTCGTCTCTAGGTATGCTAACACTGTTACGGGTTCACCCTAGTCGAATAACGAGAACAAAACAATGAACTAGCGTCCGGGTAAGTTACTGTGATCGCTTGACCAAATTGTATCAGCGAGAAGTCTTGATATAGCGTAGAAAGTGTATTCGACAAACACACAGCCAGCACACACAATGAATCCAAGCACTCAAATCGCATTTATTTATACTCTAATAGAGATGTCCTTGGGACAGTCACAAAAATAGCACACTAAAATGACACAGTAATCAATCACAACCAAGGATTTTCCTGGTGGGAAACGTGATCTGAAGGTTAACTGGTAGGCCCATGGAATAAATCCAAAATAAAGATATTTATCAAGCAAGTTCTGGGGATCTAACATCCGCAACATATGTAAACGGTTGAAATAAAACGTCTCAGTAGAAAGTTCCATTTTGATACCAAGATTCACCCATAAAGCAATGAAGGACTTTTCAATTCAATAAGAATTTTTTCGAGACTTCATCACAAACCAAATTATGGTAGACTGGTATTAAAAAAAACTCGAGATTCCTGCATACTACGAATTTAAAAATCCATGCTAGAATGTGTCAAATTGGAGAAAAGGATAGTTGTCACACTACACAACGTGTTACTCTATAAACATTGTTCCAAATTACTTTCCGTTTATAGTTACTGTTGGGGATGTTCGATCCCCAGAACTCGCTTGTTAAATGCCTTATTTTGGATTTCACGTTTGTCAGCATGGGCTGATCAGCTGACCTTGAGATTTTATTTCCCAACAGGAAAATCCATGGCTATGATTGGCTGCTGTGTATTTTAGTGCTCTTTCTTCGTAACTGTCCCAAGGACGTTTCTATGATGTATAAATAAACAAGAGTTGTGTACTTATGTACTTGCTGGGTGTTTGTAGAACATACTTTCTACGCTTACAAAGCCTTTTATCTTCAGCTTGGGATTGAAGGTAGCCTACCTGAACGCCGGTTCATTGTCTTGTTCGCGTTTTGTCGACTAAGGTGAACTCATAATAGCTTCAAGCGTACCTACTGACGAACCCTACAGTTAATTTCTTCATACGATCAAATATTCCTGTTTAGTACTAATTGAATAAGTTCTAAGGGCCTAGAATTGTTAGATTTACAGTCAGTACTCCATTTCAACTTGTCCGCAGAAGTCGTGGATGCGCACTGCCCCTGATGAGTCAATCCCATACCAGAGGAAGAAACGGTCATCTTTCAGTGCTTCCAGGTTTCTAATGTTAGTGGTCTAACATTGATCGATTGATGGTTTCAAATATATTTATAGAATATATATTCAAAATTTTTGAACTGAACTATACATTTCAGTTCAATTAAACAATTAAATGTTTTTTTCCCCCTCGTTTTTTTCTTTCCTCAAAATTAAGCTAACATTTCTTATGCTTCAAAAGATCTACGTCTATTTACTGCACGTAAATTTTACAAAGCATGCATAAAAAGTCCTTACGATACTGATGAACATATTAAAAGTCAATTACTTCAGCTAATTTCAATAGCTTTCGGTGAATGGGATTTATTACGGCCGTCAGTGAATAGAAATGCGACGAAAACTAGCAAATATAATACATTGAGAAATAATATTCAAGATTTAACTTTAACTGATTTATATTTAACATTGTTAAGTACAACAGGACGGACACCATTATTTTCAATGGATATTGATGAAGATGTAAAATTGATTCGAGTAAGTAAGTTGACTGTACAATCAATGTGTTTTGAAGAAATAGTACTCAGTGTTGTTATATCAA